CCAGAAAACGGGGTCTTCAAGAGTCATGGGCCCGAACCCTTTTAGGCTTTTCCTAGTCTCACTGAGTCCTACTCATAGCCAAAATATGGAGTCAAACGGCGTCCGACAGTTGGATAGGTTCCCTCGTTAGCTTTAATATGCATTTCGGTGAAGTTTGGACTGTTAGGAAATACAGGCATGCGTGCATATGTATATATACATATTGAATATCGGTATGAATTTAATGTAACCCATATAATTAACGGTGATTATCGACAAATCCACTTTTTGTAAACAATCTAAAATAAATAGTAGGCATGCACTTACTGTTATTAACAGATAAACATAAACGTAAATAACCGGTCAAACGGTTAAACTACTAACTAGTCAATTAAAGAACCTAAAATTTCGCTTCTGTCATCCGCAGCTTCCGAGCCTTTCAGCAAACAAACATCTCTGATGTACGACTTTCAGAATCAAATATTTACGAAAAACCTTGTGCGCATATACCACAATAATCATACTCGCACTTATACTCAAGAAACATTTTATCGTTTTGCCTCCCCAAAATGACAGTAAAAAACGGGAATTTTTTCATCTTTACCGAAAAGATTCAGTCTTTCACGCATTTTGATAGTATCCATTTAAACATCAATCAATGACATTGCTCTCATATTTCGAGTTAAAAACAGACAAATGCGCATGTTATAATGGTTAATTGTTTCTGTCTGTTAAATAAATAATTGAGGATCGCTGAATAAGCGAAGACATGGGAGATGCGATTCATAGAAACCATTTTTTTAACAGATTGTCTCCAAATTGCTCTAAACAGTAATGTCTATAAATTTTCGAAGAAAATACTGTAATCAGGACCTGAATAAAGTGGCACCTGCTCAGAGGATCACGAGTTTTTGTTATGTGCTAGCCTCTCAAAATCTTTCACGATTGTTATTGTTGACTTTGTTTCTTCTATTTCTAGCAATATGCAAATGATACTGTCGTTACACCTAATGCGCTTCCGACAGCACAAGCAGCAGAAAATTCTGCACAAACAGTTGCAGAAGGAATGTCAAATGAAATTATTGAAAAAGTATGATCAGATTTTTTTTAAGATTTTTTTCTTTGTTTACATTTATTTTTATGTTTAGTTACAAACAAAGGCTACAGTACTTACTCAACTTCGTAAACAGCGTGGTAAAAAGGTGCCAGATAGTTTAACAAGTGTGGATGATATGAAAAATTTTCATTGTGTAGCTACACATACCGTACGTTGTTTCCTTTTTCAGTTTCTTATAAGAAATAAATAATTTTTATTCATTTTTTTCTCAGGGTTTACATAGTGCAAGTAATCCTGGTATATTGGCACTTGATATTTATCAAAAAGATTCCAATATTATTGTTACAGGTGATTAACAGTTTTCAACTAAGAGTCCTACTAATAGACAATGTTTGAGTTAATACAGATAATTTAATTATTAATCATGCAGCTTGAGATGTGACCTGATTTTTGTTTTAATGGATTTCAAGTAGCATATGTGCTATATCTCGTTTAGGTGGTAATGATCGTCAAGCTGTTGTATTTAATAAGGACAGTGCACAAGTTGTTGCTACACTCAAAGGTCATACGAAAAAAGTTACACATGTCATTCATCATTCAGATGAGGTAAAAGATGAATATGTTCTTTTATTATTATCGCTAATAATATAATTATTTATTTATTTACAAAGGAAATTGCCATTACTGCTAGTCCCGATTCAACAATTCGTGTATGGCACATACCCAGTGCTCAATGTACTAAATTATTAAAGGTACACGATAATCCAATAACAGGTCTATCATTACATCCAACAGGCGATTATATTTTATCAAGTTCAAATGACACATATTGGGCATTATCTGATATTCGAACAGGAAAACTTCTAGTTAAAATACAAGATAGTACATCACAACGAGGTATGTAAAGATTATAGTGGCACTATAAATTAAATATCCAGTATGACTACTTCTCTCCGGTTAATTACAAGAGCGTTAGTAATTCAGAGTGAATTTATAACTGAACATAGTGCTGATTGGTGAATAGATATTAGAGCTATACAACTGTAATATAACTTTCTGTCTTACACTAAAAATGACAAAGGAATGTCACGTGAATCTATTTTTAGCTTTAACATGTGCTCAATTTCATCCTGATGGTATTATATTTGGTATTGGTACACAAGATAGTGTAATTAAAATATGGGATTTAAAAGAATGTAATAATGTAGCCGATTTTCCTGGTCATAGTGGAGCTATTAGTGCAATTGCTTTCTCAGAAAATGGTTTGTAGTGATTTCTAAACTGTGTACAGCTATTCTAAATCCTTTGTTTATTTAGGATACTATTTGGCAACAGCAGCCGATGATTCCGTTATTAAACTATGGGATTTGAGAAAATTAAAAAATTTTAAAACAATCACGTTAGAAGATCGTTATGAGGTATGTTTTCTGGGATATATAAAACATGATTTAAACTTTATATAACTCTAACAAATAACTTTCACTAAATATAACTATCTGAAATACTTGTTAGAGAATGGCTTCACTCTTTTTATCGAAAAAACTGTACTTTATTTTGTATGTAATTGTTAATTTGTTATTTGTGTTAGGTTAAAGATCTCGTATTTGATCAAAGTGGGGTTTATCTTGGAGTAGCTGGCACCGATGTTCGGTTAGTATTTATCTTAATTTCACTGTAGAACTTTTAAAATTTTGTATCATGATTTTCTAGTGTCTATCAAGTAAAACAATGGGATTTACTTAAAATATTTAATGATCATACATCAGTGGCTACCGGTGTTCGCTTTGGTTTAAATGCAAATTATTTGGCTAGTTCTAGTCTTGATCGATCACTCAAACTTTACCAAATGTAATAACGATTGGCTAGAGAAAGTGTGTATGTTGTTTGTACTCTAACAACAGAAAGAGAAAATGAAATAAAATGAAATGAAATAGATTGTTTGCTATTTTTATACATTTTGTCTTTTCTGTTTCTACCAATGTGTTTTGTGTATTACTTTTTTCAACAAAAAAAATGTTGTTGATTGTTATTTTATCCCTTAACTGAAAGTAAGGGTCTTACAAAATAAATTAACTGGTTAATGGTTAGGTCAGATGCAGCCACTATTATAGCAGTAAAAAATCTGCTCAAGAGAACTTTTCAATATAAACGGTATGTTTGATGAGCATCTAACCAAGTGGTATAATACAAATTCACTAAAATTTACGTAAGTGAATGGCCTGACTGATGCGCTTATGTTTCCCCACGCTTATATAAAATTTTCGTTTAAACTGTTGTTTCTCCTAGATGAAAGCATGGAAGTAAAATGCAAATTCCATAGAACGTCTGACGAAAAAACAGGTCATATATCTTACCGATAAGTTTAGCAATGGTGTCAGATGAGGTGTACGATGGATGTTGATGTTTATGACGAGACACCGAGACGTTTTTCATATACACAACCAGATACAGGCGATATAACAGGTTGTTCAGGTACTTCGTTTGATACTAAAAACATATACACACCGATTAGAAGAGTGCCGCTATACAAAAACATAGTGAAAACATGCGTCACAACTTTGACTGGGACAACTGGAATATAACTGAACGGGACAGGGTCGAATATTGTTTATTGATCAAAGAGTCTCTTTCCAATTTAACACTTAAACTTGATCTAAATAGTACAGTTCAATCCGTAACATTAATTGTATTTCCAGACGGTTTATCTCGAAATGACGGAGAGGTGTATAATCCTGGCAGTGACACAAGTTGAAAAGAAAGGAATGAATGATCAGAAAGTCAATAGAAGGAAAACAGGAAAAGGAAAAATCACAATTTTCTTTTTTATCTGATCGATAGTAAAATCACAGTATATATAGAGTAGTTTCATTATTCTGTTTATCTAATTTTTTTTATAAATAGTCTATATTTTACTTTTTTCTTCATGGAAATGATTCAATGAAGAGTCGAAACGTCAAGATAAATTTAAATTGTTAAATAAATGACTGCTGCTGTACAGAAATCTATTTTTATTCACCCCCTATTGGCTCTAAATCGTAATGTGAAAAACTGTCAGTATTGGACCTGAATGATGGTATCAGAAAACATTCAAAGATAATTTATCTGAGAAATAATTTGACCTATTTTTCAATTGGGAGCGTATGTCAGGTAGTAACGTCTAGATTTCAAATTTATAGCAAGAACTAGAACACGTGATTGACATCAGAAAATCACTTAGATGATAGTAATGCATATTTTTGCTTCAAACATGTTATATGAGCTAAAATGAAAAACTTAACCATTTTTAGTTCTGTAGTTGACTTTCGTACCCGGCAGCCAACAGTAATTATCATCGAATCCTGCTACTCTTAATTCAACTTATTGTCATTTTCTCCGAATTGAAAATATGAGAGTAAACTGCAAACTCTGTAGGGAGCATTTAACTCTTCACGAAATAAGCAAAAAAAATGTGCACATCCAATGCAGTGGCTATAGTAACTTTCCATAAATTTGTTTCAGTATGTAGAAATTATTGTTGGTTTTTTATTATCTTCTTTCATTATGTATTCGAGTGTTTCTGAACACTATAAAAAATAGAAATAGAAATATATAATAAAGATTAAATATTTTTCAAAAACAGTCAGAGACTCTTAATATCGGCCTTTGACAGTATGTAGGAAAGAAACGTTTTCTGATGTTTCTTATAGTGGCATTTATTTACCCCCTTTTTGTGATCTCATAAGTAGTATAGTCAGAAGTACAATGATCGATGTATAATAGAAAAACGTGACGGGCACCGGATGTGGTAAATGGTCCGTCTAGAAGCGTTTTGATGGAGATTAACATACTAGTTGTATACATTAATTATCACTTACTCTTATTAATATCTGACGCTTCATCAAAACGAAAAGTAGAACTTTATCACTAGATTATTTCTCAGAACATTATTAAGATATCATGTATAGAACATGTTCCATTAGAGAACATCTTTCAAACTGTATTGACTAAGAATAACAGTAATTGATCTTACTGTGACAGATGTATGCATTTTTCTCTCCCATCCATATACAACCATATTTCGTATTATGATTCGAAAACTGTTAGGTGGTTGAATTTTAAATTCTGAAATTAAAACGACTGGCCCAGTTAAATATCAGAAGTAGCACCGTTGACACTACAGAGAATGAAAAGAATGTCTAATCATCGATAATCAAGTAGAAAAAATTTTGTTCATTATAAATAAATCTTTAATCTTATATTACTATAGATATTATTGTTTTTATACATTTTCGATATGACTTACATGAGAAAGGGAATGGTCACCGGAAATAGTCTGTGTAATTTTTCTTCTCGTTATGTATTTTGGGCGCGCGCAAGTGTTAGAAACCAAACTGAAAATTTCGGTGTCCTCTCGATTCGTCCCTAATTGATTTCTCAATTCGCCCCTTAAATGCACGCATAGGCTAAATTATTCGGCTTTTGAATTTATTTAATAAACTTCGTAAAAAGACCAACACTAATAATTAACAATATATAAACAGCTACAATACCATTATGCCCACAAGACAAACCAATTATTCGTGAAGATATCATGTTTTAATTGGGGTTGTTTTAACAGCTCTACCACATTTAATAGCCAGTTCAGCATTTGTTCTTTTAACTTACTATCAATATTATTGTATAATTTTTTTCGTTTCCTTATTTGCATATCTGATTCTTCAGCTCTATGATGTTGATATAAATGTTCATTTGAGGGACGAATCAAGAAAAAAATTTTAAGGGACGAAATGAGAAGGGACGAATTGAGAATAAAAATTTACGAGGGGCGAATTGAGAAATCAATTAGGGACGAATCGAGAGGACACCGTAAGTATTGTATTCAATAGTTCTTAATTGAATAGTATTATATTCAATAGTTCTGTTAAGAAAAGAATGTTTAAATGAGCAAACATCAATGACTGATCAAATATTTTTATCTGATTCTATCAAACCATCAGATGCATCGATTCATGATGGTCTGTGTTATGCCATGCACTACAGTCGTGTCATAATGGAGAAGATCATAGTTAAGGTTATTGCGCAAGCATATAGTCTAAGTAATTGCGCAAGAATATATTCAAGGTTATGGTGCAAGACTATGGTCAAGGTTATTGCGTAGACTCTAGTCAAGATTATTGCGCAGAGTCTACTCAAGATGATCGTACAATGTTTCTTATATAAATAGATCAATTTATTGTTAAAAGGATATCTTTTTCATTTTCTAAATAAACGTTAGGTGAGAAAGATCTTAGTTTACCCGGGAACCTAACAGTCTGCATGAAATATTAGAAGAATTTGTTGTGAGTGTTATACATTTAAAAGTTCGTTCATGTGATTTACATAGATATGCCCATAAGTATTTTACTGAACATGATAAATCCAATCGATCAATGGAAATGGATGACGAAACAGAACAACAAATGAGACAACAATCAGATGAAATTGAAGAAGCAGATGTAGGGAAAAAGACAAGACCTCATATTTTTAGAAATGGATATAATTCGGTACGACTCAAACTATGTGTGCTACATGATCGAGAGTGTACCTTCGAAAATTCGATCAAAAAAGAAATGAAGTAGCTGTAGAAAATCGAACACATGAATCTACTCCTCCTCTTTTTTAATAACTTTTGGTTCGTACGCTTGTTGAAAACACTGCTATCATAATTTCTCAAATTGTCAATCAATACTATATCAGCATATGGTTATGATTTAAAACACGTATAAACTTTAAAATAAAGTATTCGTTTCAGGAATGTTATCTGTTATCTCTTTCTAGGAAACCGATGGTTTAAGTCTACCACCTGCTCATTCTGATAAAACTAAAGATGAACAGGAATTTTTACGATCAGCTATTCCACAATCATTACCATTTCATGCATTAGATAGATCCAGATCAAATCGAGGTTGCCATAAAATCATTTGAATTTGTGAACGTGAAAGCTGATCAAAATCTCATGAAAGAACACGATGAAGAAGACTATTTTTATTGGGTGCAGTCGGGAGTATATGAAGCAAAAATTAATGATAAAATAGTAACAGAATATAATAATAAAGGTTCATTTGGCGAACTAGCATTACTCTATTTACAATCAAGACAAGCTACCGTGACTTGTCTTGAAGATGGAAGACTATGGAGAGCTGATAGAGAAACATTTTCTAGAGTGTCCAGAACAATGGCATTTCAAAAATGACAAACACGCAGTAAGAAAAAAAATGCAGTTTTAAACACGGAGTATTTTATACAATATATCAGACTCCGTCGAAGCAAGGAAAAGTTTATACTATAACCTATGAAGTGTCATTGATTTTTTCCTTACTCCATACAAATGGATATTGTAGACGGTAGTGTCTTAAAGTCAACCAGTCAAAAGGTGGCTACATTTCAGCATGTTTGCTCTACCGATTGAAAAGAAATGTCTCATCTAGTAGTGCGTAATAGCACAGTATTTAGATATTGACTAATAAGTAGTACTGCAGAAGTACTACAGAAATACCATCTATTGAAGAGTTTCAAATTTTTGTCCCCACTCGAGACTATTCTGATAATATTGTCATATTAAGGTTCGTTTGTGAAACGTTGCGATATTTTGAAAAATGTGTCTGATAAGGAGTTGTTGGATATTACGGATTGTATGAAAGAAGGAGAATATATTCTAAATGATGCTATTATTCAAGAAGGCGACGAAGCAAATGCTATGTATTATATTGAAAACGGTCAGATTGAAATACGAGTGAAAGATGAAAAAACAGGCAAGCATCTCTTGGTTAAAACATGTAATTCAGGAGAATATTTTGGTGAAAGAGTATTTTTATTCAATGATAAGCGTGCCGCATCGGCCATCGCTACAACATATTGCAAACTACTAACGCTAGATCGAAATAATTTTGATCGTCTTTTTGGCAGTGTGAAATCGATATTGAAACGAAATGCATCAAACTATGACACTATACTCAAACAAATACAAAATAGACAATTGTAGGGAATAGTGTATGAAAGTTGGATACGTCATGATTCTTTTAAACTATAGATCATCTATTCGAAGAAAAATTCAAATCTCTACTATTTTAAATTAAATATAGAAATAGTCAAGATTCTGATTATTCTTTTTGCATTGAGGGAAAATCTCATGACAAGTCCCAAAAATTGATGCACGTCTGCAGTAGATATTAAGCCTATAAAAAAAATGAAAGAATCATACTATTGTACAATCGACAAGCTAATGCCAAAATGTACAACAAAGATAAACTGCATATGACTAAAAGTCATTGTTCAACATATGTTTAGGGATGGACCAAACCCGAACTCAGGTTTGGAAATTTGGGTTCGGCTTGGAAATTAAGATTCGGATTCGAACTTGAGTTCGTGTTCGAGCTTAGGTCTCGGTTATGATTTCATGCTAACATAGGTATGCACCAGTTAAAAACTGGTGTTGGCGCATCTGGAAGAATTGCTATATATCAGTTACCAAGATTCGCCCATAGCTGCAAAACGTCTCATTTTGTAGAAAAATGTTTGCTTTACAAAATGCATTTGTTAAAAAACTTCCAAAATCATTTGTAACGAAACTTAGAGCACTCAAAAATACATTAAACCCATTTTTCTGTATTTTCTTAATTAATTACTTTTTGTACTGATAAGACGACCGGTAACAGGGTGGTAGTTTTAGCAAGGGAATGAATCTAACTTTTTTTGTCTTTGTACAAGCCACTCCACTGCACTATGACAATTATATAGAAGACGCTGAAGGTGAACTTAGCAAAGCTTGTCTAAGTTATAAGCACTCGTTTTTTTCAACGAATTATATTTCAAATTTCTTCTATTATTTTATCCATCTTTCTTAAATTCACGCAAAATAAACTGTTGTGTCTAAAACGTAATAAATTTTAAAAATTTTTATTTATAAGTAAACTATTTAATTGTACAGAAACGAAACAAAAAAAAGTAGACTATGATAAATCAGGAGTTCGATCGTGTTTGCTTTGTGAATGAAAACGTTTTCTTAAAACACGTTCTTCAGATGCAATATTTTTTCTATAATGATAAACAAAAATATTTATTTTCTCTCCATTTTCAGAGATTCCATGAGTCGATTTTTCATACCGTTTTTCGATCATTGCTTGTTCATCTTTAGTAAGTCCTTTTGGTAGAATACTTGAATCTCTTATAATTGCACGAATTCTATCAAAACAATGTGCTTGATTTAATAGTTGATGACGTGTTTCATCCGAAAATGTAATGAAATATCCATCTTTATTTATACGATTCCCATACTAAAACATTATAACATTTAAATAAAGATAGACTAATTTAAATTAATTACCAACCAAGTCTTTAATTCTTGGTTTTATCCAATTTGGAATCCAAGTGGCTGTATCCAAATGAAAACGAACTTCAACACCGGTTAGATCTTCAAAGAAAGAAGAAGATAAATGAAGTTTTAAGTTTTATTTTGTTTTGTACTTTTATTCACGTGTTGTCCGCCTGGTCCTCTCGAATGTCGATGATTTATTTCAATTTTGTCTAAATTTACAAAAAAAAAGAAGTAAAGAGATATATTCATTCACTAAATAATAGAAATAATCTCAGTTCTTAGTACCTATTGGTATAAAACCGTTGAATTGTTCATCAGATTCTTTCGTTGGCTAAATAGAAAACAAGAGTAATATACATTTTTTGACGATAAATTTTTCGTATTTTCTTACCGATTTTACTTGGACATTGTCTTCTGTTAAAATGTTTAAGGAAGAACTTTTTGGAAATAGTTTTTCGTATGCTAGAGCACTTTTATATGAACGACAAGGATTAATTATATATCTAAGTGGAACTTTTGTACAATACAAAAACAGAATGTTCATCTAAAATAAGATGAAAAAAATTCCTATTATATAAATATAGGAAAAACAGTTGCAAAAGTATAAAATCTCTGAATGAGTTTCTATTTATACAACTTGATTTCTGAGATAATAAATGAAAATAGGTCTTAATCAGTATTGTGTAAAAGTTTTATTAAAACAAATTAATGAAGTTCATACATTAGAAGTATGACTAATTTCAAAATACTTTCTTGTCTATATTGTCTTATGCAAGATTTCAATAAAATAAACTAACGATGTTTGAATCAAAACATAAGTATTGTGACGACAAGTCATAATTCAAATTATTGCAACATTACTCTATTATGTGAGCGACATCAGAGTGTATGTGTCTGTCGCTACACTAGGATTAAAATAGTATACATTGATTGATTGAGGATGCCCAGTATATGTATTCAAAATGACTACTCTTATTTTATTGCTGCAGAACACATTTTATCAAAAAATTAAAACAAAAATAAAAATAAAATGAACGAATATTTGTTACAACAATTAAAAGAAAAGCACATGCACAAACACATACACAGCAACTATGAATCAGAATAAATGAATAAAAATAACTGTTCTATTTCTTAAAACAACACTAATACTAACAACAAAAACACAACTGATTACATCGAGAAGAAAAAAAATATGCATAAATAATTACTAAATGACTATTTTAAATGAAAAAAATGACTGTATTCCATTAAGAAAAAGAAAAGAAAGAAAACTCACATATACTATCAACTGTTCTGAGATTACCAGAAAAATGAATTCAAAATCATTCAAATTGATTCTTACATAATGGACGGAAAAAAAAATATTCGTACTGTTGAGACGCATCGCAAACATTTCTCTTGAGCACAATAAATGAATTTTCCTAATAAAAAAAGTGGTTATGATATGACCTATCAATATAAACAAGCGTTTTGTGTATGATGAAACCAATTACAATCAATCAGAAATATCACAGTTTTACTGTTCTTCATTTGAGAGCTATTATGCTCGTTGTTCTAACTGTTTTTCATCATAATCCGCATAATCTTTCATTGGTCTATTTTCCTCGCCGTTATTATTATTATCAATAGTTTGTTTCTTATTAACAGCATCAAATGTGGCCCATTTTCTTGGTAAAGCTGTTCCAAAGAGGAGATAAACTAAACCACCAATGAAATATACAGCACCAAATAATATAAATAGATAACGCCAATTATGTAATATCGACTTTTTAATAACAAGGCCGGCAACTAAATTTCCAATAAGACCAGCTAATGAGGCAAGAGTATTGGCTATACCAAATATAACACCGGAATAAGCGGGAACGATATCATTAAAATTAACTACATATCCCGCTCCATCTAGAATATTAACAAAAAACAAAATTACAAACGCTGTTAAAACGTTTACTTATGCAGATGTTTGGATAAAAAAAAAATGCTGATAGTAATAAAATATCAGCTATTTTATTGATCCAAAATGATTATTTAATACACAAACCACTTACATCCCAATCCTAGAAAAAAAAAAGAGTAGAATTATTGTTTATGCGGCACATAAATAACGAGCCGATTTAAACTGACTTCGACTCAATTAATGTGCTCCTTTGAAAGAGATTTTCTTTATACTACTATACGAGTGTTTACTTACCTGAAAATGCTAGAAACATAATAACGGTAATCACTCCTAATATTTGTCTTGTTTCATCACAAAAACATAGTGATATCATACATAATACGGGACCAAATGACGTAATAGAGTTGAATAATTTTCTTGCACCAGTCAGTGACATTATTCCCTTTTGAACAAGTATATCAACACACATTCCTAAAACAATGATTATAAAAAACATAATTCAGATTCAATTTCATTTTGAATTTTGATTTTCATTCATTTTGATCGTTCAACGTACCCGATGCTAAACTAGTGATCCATGTCAAAAGAAAACCACCAGCGGCTATAAAACCGGTATATTGAACTGATATTCTATGTACATCAACCATAATTTTTCCAATATTTGTCAAGAAGAAAAAAAGTCCAAATAAATTACACATATGTGTAACAAAGAGAGCTAGTAGAGGTTTTGATTTGATAATGTTTTTCCATGGAATTTCTGATAATAGTAGTCCTCGTTTTTTTGTGCCATTTCCATCCCCAAGTGTTATATGGCAAATATACTCTCGTTCATCATCACTTATTGTCGGATGTTGGGTTGGCGAATCGGATGCTAAACACATCCAAAGAATAAGCCAGAGAAAACCGAGGATGCTTGAGAAAAAAAATAAATACATCCAACCACTAATCAAATAACGACAGAGTAAACCACCAATTAACATTGTAATGGATGTACCAAGATGAGTGCCGCTAAAACCTACAGAAACCAGACGACCACGTTCAGCTGGTACTGCCCATAAACTCCAGAGAGCAACCGTTGCCGGAAATAAAACCTAAAAAAATCATACACTATTTTTATTTTAAACAAATATTTTAAATGTTAAAACTTTAAAATTTACCCCGTGAGATAAACCAATTATAAACCTTAACATAACCATCAAAATAAATTGTGTATCTGACATAAAATACATTAAATTTAAGCACAATGTCGCTATTGAGGATATCAGTAATGATATTGCATACACACGTTTTGCTCCAAAGTTTGTTGCCAACCAACCACCTAAATACAATTCAAAATTAAAATGATGAAAATTTAAATCATATCTATATATTGATTCGAGAAAGTTATTTCTTGAATTACCTGGTATTTGAGTAAAAATGTAGCCGCCCCAATATGATCCGAGTAATAACTGTTGTTGTGCTTCACTCCAGAAAAATCTTTTTTCTGTTAAATATATGCCATAACGTTGAATTTTTAATGTTGGTCTTGTTGTTAATTGTACTATATCTGTCGTTTCTTCCTCCATCATATCTGATCTTAATAATGTTGAAGGTAACATTATTGTTTCATTTACTGTTTTAACACTTGGTAATGTAGGTTTAATGACCATACAGTTAATAGCTATTGGAAAATTGACTCGTTGACTATATTGAACAATGAAGGCCATACATACCAACAATGCCATACAAAAACGAGTCGATGGAACAAAGGATGGTGGGGAGGAACTTGGTGGCGCTAGCGTCATGGTAATAAATTTTTTATCAACTGATGCCATTATATATATTCTTTAGAAGAAAAAGAAAAACAGGAAAATAAAAAGCACATATATATAATGATTCTTCAATTAATAGCTTGAGGTTATTCGAGTTTTTTTTTCTTTAGAAGCCATGCTTTTTTTTAGTGAAGCAGCTGTGTGTTTGGGGAAATATAATATTAATTTGGCGTCCATAACCTTAGCCGTTACAAACTGGATTATTTTTTCTTAAATATTTTTTAATAAATGATTCAAAAATTAAGATTGTATTCAGTATTAGGACGCAGTGACGATTTAATGTGAAATTAAATAATTTTATCTTAAGATTACTCCTGTGAAATTCTCTATATGTATCCATCACCATATTCTGATAAGTGTATATATATATATATATATATACACATCTGTCTCATACACATCTTCTTTGAATTGTACTGTGATATAGTTATTTTATTTAATTATAACCATTAGATCTATTCAGTTGATATTATCTATCAACATAGTACTTTTTTCTTTAATGTTTTGATGAAATTATCTATTCTAGATACGTGATACACGGATAATTCAAAACTTTTTAATTAATTCTAAAGAAACGTCTGAACACTGATTAAACAAGAATAGAAAAAAAAAATTTTGAGTATTTATTAATATACTAAAACCAATACAAGAAAGTATATAACATGAGAAACTACGTTGTTCAAAGCACATGTGATGCCCGGCTGTACGTGCGACCGACTATAGCGCCTATGGCGTAACGTATGCAGCCTCTAGTCTATGACTTGAATTCACAGAGCAGATGATTATGACGCTTAGAAAACTACATCGCACCGGCATAACGCCAATAGGCACTTCATAACTGAAAATGTCTTTGTCCGTGAGTGATGAGGGAATGTATATGAATATCCTTGTTATTCATTCTAACTGCTTGTGGCTTTCTGACAACTATGCCGGTTCACCACATATGAATGTGCTCTATTGCCTTGTGTAATAATCAACACTAAATTGAAAACACAAGAGAGTGGCTGGGCGAGCTATTATGTGTCAAATCTGTTTCAAGAAAGACTAAATAATAAGAAATAATAAAAGTTGTTACCACGTTAAAATCCGAACTATGCGCACGATTGACAAAAACAATTTGAGCATCCAAGATTTCTCACTCATAAACCTATGTTAATGTTTAAACATTAACTTTTATGAAATAATCTGTTCTATATACGTGATACACATATAGTAAAAAAGCTTTTTAATTAATTCTAAAAAAACATCTGAACACTGATTATACTTTTCTTACCCTTATTTATATTACTAAAAATTTGATTCGTTTTCTTGTCACTCCTACTATTTACTATGAATGACAATATTGTAAAATAAGAAAGAAAGAAGTTAAAAAAACTAATAAAATAGAAATAAAAAAAATAAAAATATTGAGTTTTCCACTTCTTCGTTTATTCAATTTATAATGGAGAATGGAAGTCAAGCGATTATATAGACATTACATCGACTAAACTCTAGTTATTACATAAGATGATCAGTTGTATTTCTTATTTTTTTTTTCTTTATGAGAATCCAAAAAAAAAAAAAAGAAACGAACAATCTGGCATTATTATTACAAAAACACATTTTTTTCCATCTCTTATTTTCTCGTGAAATCTACAGAGTTATTAAGAAGAAAAATAGAGCATAATTTCTATAATCAGAGTAGAATTTGATAAGAAAAAAATATTGTCACGTAAAAATTATTTTCTTATTTTTCTTGAGAGGAATGCATAAGAACACGGACGGCTATTTATATAACAGCTGATGTAGAACAACCAAAAATTTCGGCTGAATTAGATACGATGGTAGAAAAAAAATATTTTGCTTTTATACAAGTACAAATTGTTATCTAGACAAAAGTAGCACACATCATACCGTTATTAGTATCAAATCAAAATTGTAAATATCTAATTGTGTAGTTTTATTTGTTAGAAGCTCATGATATGTGGGAATGATTTTGTGAATGAAAATCAAAAAATCGACGTTTTTCTTCTAACTTATTTGATAAAAAAAAGAATAATACCGAGAAAACAATTCACTATTTTTGTTTTTCTCTGAGAAAATATTTCAAAGTCTAAAAACAGTATAAAAGACACCCACACCTTACTTTCCAACGGATGTAGTGCATTTATAACAACGGAAAAAAAATGATATAAAATCTTAGCATTGTCATATAATTTTTGTATGACTGACTATTTAAAATAAATGATCTCGTTCATCTTCATTCAGTTTGATACGAAAAATTCATTCATAGTGTTCCTTTTCAAAAAATAAACATATTTCTTTTTTTCTTACTGATATAATCTTTCTTTTCATCATAATACTATTCAAACTAAATACAATAACTATCTCTTTCTTTTTTCTTTAAAATGAATTATATACTGGAAACTGTTAGAACTTAGATTCTTTAGTACACTGATACAAATTAGTTAATTTATTAGACTAATAGCTCAAAACGAATATCAAGTAATATAATACTTTAGATATCTCAAAAAAGTATTAAAATAATAACAAACAAGAGAATGATTTCTGTGTAATACATTCATCATTTTCAAGTAGAGTCCAAAGAGTATCATTATTGACTTGAAAAGCGTCATATTTCTGACAAACAAATACATTTCGTATTGTTGATCGTGTTTATCTGTTTAAAACATAGTGTTTTTCAAGTAAATGGCATCCTTAGTTTGTAGATGACTGTATGCGTGAAATTAGAGCTTTTCTTTTATATGTAAAAACAGCTGAATACTAGAGAAAAGAATTAATCAAATAACAAATATAGTCAAGGAATGCTAGCAATTATTTTTTATTTAAACAAAACAAAAATCCTTATTTAAAACAATGTTTACAAAACAATGAAACATGAAAAACACAGTCAATAATAAACAGTACTAAAAATATAATAATCACCAATATTCATTTGTCACTAGCTTCCATTGACAAATCGGCATAAAAGAATCGAAATAAGTATAATTCATCAGTTTTCATCCTCCTCTCCATCATCCATTGGATTCACATTTTCTGAGCTCTGTTCTCCTTCTGCACTACCAACACCTTTAGCAGCAAGTTCACGAAGTCCACTAAGAATTTTCGATCGTTTAAAACGTTTCCCAGTTGTGCCATCTAGAATAAAACAAAAAAAGGTAGTGATTTTTGTTCTTAAATGAAGAATTTTAGTTCATAACTACCATCAAATTCTGCCGCCGTTTTTCGTCTTAAACCTTCAATCGTTTCACTTTCTTCATCGGCCCATTCCAAAACAAGTCTTCTACCATACAAATGAGTACTATGACATAAAGCATCGAATGCATTCTAAAATGAAATATAATTTGTTTTTTTAGAAGAAAACAACGATGCTTCTTTTTCTTCTAAGTACCTTTGCATCATTTTTACTAACAAAATCGGCAAAACCAAATCCTCGATGATGTGTGCCATTGACTTTTTTTGGTAAACGAACAAATTTAAGTTCACCAAATACACTAGAAACAAAACAATTAGAGTTTAAAAAAGAACTTTGATTTCATTCTTACGTGAATAATTCTCGAATTTCTCTGACATTTGCTTGAAACGGTATATTTCTAATAAGAATTTTTGTTGTTCGTTGTTTCTTTTCTAATTGACGTTTTCGTTTTGTTTTCACATTTGAACTAAAATAAAAGTAAACATCTTAATTTATTTTTCTTGAACAAAACTTTATGTATCTTACGCTAGTTTCAATGTTCGTTCAGATCGTTTTAATTCTAAATTATGTCCATTCAATTCACTATTTTGTAAACGTTTTAATGCTTCATCAACAAATGTTTTTGATTTAAATTCAACAAAACCATAGCCCATTGATAAAAATGTTCCAGGTTGTTTTAGATCTTTTTTTTTTGCTATGAATACTTTACATGGACCGATTGATGAAAAATGCTAGAAAAAAGAATAAAAGAAAAGTTTAATAGAAAAAAGCATGATTAAATATATCTACTTGAACTAATTCTTGTTCAGTTGTATTAAAATTAAGATTTTTAACATATAAATTAAACGTTTCATCATCATCTTCCTCTTCTTCCTTAAGCGTGACGTCCTCTTTTTGTTCTATAGTAGTTGTGTTTGCATTATGATCTTCACTATGAACAATTGGTTCCTGAAAATGGAAACAAACGAAATATGACTAAGGGTAAGTTGGAGTATATATACTGTCTCAGTTTTAGCAAACAATATAACAATGCATGTGTGTTATACTGCTGTCTTAGCTGAGTAAAGTTTTTTATATCCGATAATTTTTGTTATACCCTAAGAATAACGAGTATACTCGAAGATTTAAAGATTATCGGATTGACATGCACGTGAGCAAACTAGCGATGAAGACATATTTCACTACCTCTTTCGCTGGTTTTGTTACTCCTATAGCGTTCATAGGTGCCCATTCCAAATATAATGGTCTATTATCTTTAAATTTTGTGTATGCTAATTGTTTAAATGCTTGTCTTGCTTCTTGTTGATGTTCAAAACAAACGAGAGCACAATAACCATAAGGTGGTAAGATAATTTTATTCACTTGACCATATTTTTCAAAGAGGATTTTCAAATCATATTCACTTGTATTTAACGGTAAATTTTTTACTAATATTACTTGTGAACTTCTCTTGCCTTGGACCTGACTAAATGCATCTAGTCGAACGTTATTATCAAGTAAAAATTGCCTTGTGTCTTGAACTATTTGTGTTTCACCAATAGCTAAACGAACAGCTAAACTATCGTCCCTATTGGAATTTTTCGAATCTCCAATATTCAACACATTCGATTTTTCTGTTTGATAACGTTGAGCAACAATATCGGCAATCACATTTGGATTTAAGAACAGTGTATTCCAATTATAATCCAATGTGGATGATGATTTCTGCTCTTGATCACGTTGTGTTTTAAACGATAAAGATGATTCATTTTGTTGTTCTTGTTTCTGTTGCTTACCTAAATAGAAATACTCGGTAAGAGATGGTTAGATTAAAAACGATAGGACAGCTATCTAATCCTGTATGCGTTAGTCAAAATTTAAAGAAAATTTATTCATTATGAGTTTCTGTATTATGAAACCAAATTAGTAGCGTTGTTTGTCCTCAAAAAGTATCTTACATGGTAGGATGTGTAACAACCTTCCTTGAAATACTTGTCCATCTTCATTTGTATATGCTTTTAGCGCATGTTCAGGAAACAAGTATGTTATATTCGCAAATCCTTTTGGTTTCTTTGTTAATGTATCTAGTGGCATATGAATCTTCGTAATTTGACCATATTTTGAAAATAATTGCTCTAAATCTGCCTCCGTACATAAATAAGACAAATTTCTTACAAATATTTCGCCTGTTTCACTAATTGGTTCTACATTTTCCATGGATTTTTCTTCAAACGATTTATACTTTTTTGTCGTAGATAATTCTTTGTTCTGTTGTTGTTCTTTATTTTTAATAAATGCGTTTAACTCTAGATAACGATGTTCACCACTTTTTGCTATTTCCATCACTGATTTATTTTTTAACATTGCTTGTTTTTGATCAGATTCTGAGGAAAATTCTAACCAACATATACCCGTTAGAGAATTATTTCGACGGTTACGAATTAACTGACAACGTAAAATGGTTAATGGTGAAAAAAAGTCTCGGATGTCACGTTCTTTACACGTGTAAGGAATACCACGAATTTTAATTAAATAACGTGGACCAGTTGCATTTAAGGTTTTCGATGATGAGACGATCTAAAGATAAACACGCCCCATAGAGCGTTGAAAATTCATAAAAAGCAAACAAACTTACCACTTTTTCATCTTCTTTCACTAGTGGCTGCTGTTGCTCAGCATCTTTTTCTTTTTTCTTCTTTTTATCTTTCTTTTCTAGATGATTATTCTCATCTTCCTTCATCGTATCGTTCCAAATTATTTTTTCATTTTTTTTCATTGAGTCAACATTTTTAATAAATTCCTTAAATTTTTCATCATGTTTTAAATCACCCAAAATTGCATCAACCAATTGTTTCTTTCCTTCAGAATTTGTCGTAGATGTATTTTTCTTGTTGTTGTTTTCGATTGTAATTGTTGATGTCTTTTCTGTTACTTTATTTTTCTCTGAATATTTACTCCATGGTTTTGGACGATGTTCATCAGTTAGTGCACAACATTCTTCCACCTGGACAGAAGTAAAAGAGTCTGGTTTGAGTTCAGCTTAGTGAACGTAAATAGTAACAGCAAGGAAATCTCAGAAAGAAGTAAAAACATTTTCTCAATGAATTCCCTAAGAATAATCTATCATGCGGTCATCAAACGTAAATCCATGGAACTCAAAGTGAATATGAAACAACTTACAATAATTCTTGATGTTCCAATAAATGATTTATTCAGTTTTTCAGTAGCTGTTTTCGCTTGATCTGGATTTATATAGCCAACAAAAGCAAAACGTCGAAATATTCCATCCTTTGTATATTTTAACTGTAGATCCGTTATTGTACCAAATGCTTCAAAATGTTTACGAACTTGAGCTTCTTTAACCTAGAATATATTCATTACAGATCTGAGAGTGATACTCATGCACATAATTGTGTTTTACCTGTTTTGGAAGATTTTTAACAATCACACGTGACATTCTGACATGAAGAAGACTGCAAAATGGAGAAAATAAACCAGTCACAAACACAGTATCTCAAAATTCGCCTCACTCAGAGACGGAATTCAATAAAATTATAAATGTTTCTGCTACAAAAGGATAAGAATTTATCCTTTTGTAGCAATATACATTTGTTTCAAGTTTTTTTCGCATAAAATCTAGATATTTATTCATATTAGCAACAAACGATTAAAATGCAATGAATTATAGATAACGATACTATTACTCGACTAATCCAGAAACAGATCTCTCTGATAAAAAGAATAAACAAGTTGTTTTTCTATTTCCGCTCGTGTTCCATTCTTTCTGACAGTGTTAAGTTATAGCATCTAAAGTTAAAGCAAAATGTTCCCTATGTACTGTCCCGGTAGGAAAAACTTTCCTTCATTGTTGAGTTGATATGTTTGAACAAAGGAAAATCATCAACTTTGATGAATAATGACACACACAAGCATGGATCATAAGCATAAGACATAAGCATGTATGGAACACGAATTTACGGTGATCTATTTGATCTATTTTTTGGATAAAATCAAATTCTGTCCATCAATCGTTTAATAGTGGTAATCTACGGATTTCCTCTACAAAATTCGAAGTGCTAAGCAAATTTGATGCATAAACAACTTGAATTCGCACAAGTAATGTGTAGAACACTTTCAGATCGCGAACTACTAACTAACTTTGAATCAAAAATAATTCGACAATATTAAAAGGCCTTTTGAGATCGTAGGAGAGCGACGAAAGTTCCATAATAATATTGAGGATTATCATTCAAATTTGATCAAAACGGTTAATTAAAGGTAAAGAAATTAAATAAGGAAAAAATTTCTGCTACTAAGATAATATGAACGTTTTTGATAAGATACTGTACTCGTTGAAATGAGATGTGCAGTACCGTAGCGAAATTAAATGATATATATAGCAATAATGAAATAGTAGGAATATAGTGTTTAGTGTCAAATGTGAAGTTTGTTTTTACTCTTTGCTTGGTTTATGATTCTTCATATCACCGATAAAAAAAATTAAAGTTTGTTTAGAGCTAAAGGAGAGAGCTTTTTCGTATTCAGCACACTTAATAACCTGGAAAATTTTCTACTTTTAGCGAAGGGTAGTGCCAAAAAGTTAAGAAAAATTTTCAAACAAATTGACGCAGAAAAATCTCCATCGTAAAATTATACAATTTTGAAAATTTTTCTTAACTTTTTGGCGGTACCTCTCGCTAAAAATAGAAAATTTCCAGGTTATCAAGTGTGCTGAATAAGAAAAAGCCCTTTTCTTTAACTCTAAATGAACTTTAATTTTTTGTCGGTGATATGATTAGACTCTTTGAACCTGGTATAAGCCTTATTCTTTCAGAATACGAGCGAAAAATATTTTATTTTAGTATTCTAAATCAAAACTATCGAAAAACACATAATCACTTTTGTGTAAATAGAGATTCGAGCTCGACTGTATGTGCTTGTCCTGATTAAAGAGAGAGATGAAATAATATCTTGTATTTTGGTGTTATGAGACTTTTTAACCTTGATACATTTTTTTTTGAAAAACAGGGTGTACCGATACACTCTGAGTCTAATTCTCATTAGAAATCGTGTTCCACATACATGACCAAGAAAAATAGTGCTTGTTGATTTATTGTAATGCCTTGTTTTTGCCGTCATCTAGATGACTGGAAAGATGGGTTTTTTTAGTAGTCTGTATTTGTCAGACTTGAATGAATGAAGAGTTCCGAAGTTTTTAGTTTTATCCTCTACTCTTACTTTCAAGTTTAAAGAATGCTATGAAAGTTTTTATTATAAGTCAGACATATCCTAGATTACGATAAGCTCAAACCTATATCGTTTGAAAAATAGTGTAGTAATAGACCATTAATGAGTTTATACATTTTTCTTTTAAATTGTTTTTACTTGTACTGACTTCCTATTTTAAGAGAATCTAAAATGCCACTTTAATTGTAAATTCCTACCTTTGAATAATTAAATTCTGTATTTGGCATCCAGAGGTGCAGAATCTTCCTATGAGATTGGAAAATTTCCCCCAACGACAAAAGTTGTCAAAAATTTCCCCGACATAATTCACGAACAGAATTTCTTTTTACAAAATATTTACAAAAAGAAATTCCAATTTTTCAAAAAAAATTCCCGAATTAATAAACGCGACTTTAAGGTTTTTACTACAAAACGGATTTGTAGAGGAAGACTTCTTCTATCTAGTGGTGTATATATTATCAAAGTCTGTTGCGTACCGTGAGAGAAAATTAAAGGTAATCCCTCTTTTTTTCGACTTTTTTGAAAATATTTTTTATTTTTGAATTAAATATTGTACATTCTAGAGTAAAGTGTCCTCTACAAAATAAGACCACTCCCAGTTCGCTAAGGCCTTTCGTTGAGGAGATACGACTTTTTTTAAAGTTTGTTACTTTACACTGAAAAAACCCTGATTTTTTACTTTCGAAACTTTTTTCTCTTTCATTCAGTATTTGATAAACTTTTGAAGCAATGAGTCTTGTAGAGTAAAGATTTCTCTACAAAATGAGATGTATCCCAGCTCTTCACCATGTTTTCTGGTAGAGTTATGATCAATTTGCTGGAAGTCTTTGAAAAAGTCACATTTGTGATATAACGTCCAAATTGATCATAACTCTACCAGAAAACATGGTGAAGAGCTGGGATACATCTCATTTTGTAGAGAAATCTTTA